CCACAGTAGAGTTTAACCACCAACTTCGGGATGGATAGAGTTTAACCTCCCCTATATATATATATATATTGTAGTTTTGCGTGGAATTCTGTCTGAAGCAACATGTACCTATTTATTTTATATTGTAATTCATTGTGACATCGTGGTATCCCAAAGATATTGCTTCTGTTTGGGAACCATTTTATTTTGTTAAAATTCTACTTTCAAGAAATTAGTAATTGATAAGTAGGTCATACTTGTAAATTTTACAAAAATGAATGATAAAAATTAATGTTTGACTTTAAAAAGTGAAATTTAAAAAAGGAAAATCATACCAAAACAGGCCACCACTATTTTTTATTTATTTATTTTTGGTGAATTTTATATATTTAGCCTCTGTTTGGTAATGACTAAAATCTAGATGTTAATTTAAATGAAGTCAATAATTAAATTTAACCACATATTTTATTGGTTCTACAACTTTCAACCACACATTTTATCAACTTCTATCAAAATATATTTAAAAATTAATTTTAATCCCCATCAATCAAGGACTTAAATTGCCGACTTCAATCGATGGAAGAATTGGCAATTTAACCTAAATTTTGCTATTGGCCTTTCTAACTCCATAAAAATCTTATTCATATAAGCCCTCTAGTTTTCTAATAATGTTTTCTTAAATAACAAACCAACTGAAAATAACAAAAATTTGTGTTGTCGGGTGATGTGCGTTGGTTCCTCTTAGTCATGCTAAGCTAACGTTGATTGTTCTCCAACTCGAGTCTTGTCGATGACTACTTATATTCGAACTTATAAAATTTCAAGTGAACACTTGAATATAATTTCTTATTGTGTTCTATGTCAAGACGACACTTAATAATATCTATGCTCATCTTCGCCAAAATTTTAATTCTCATATTATTATGGATTACCATAGATGTCATTGCTGTCCCCCGACTTAAGGTACATTTTTAAGTGCAATTTGATGGTAACGAAATTTCTTCAAACCACCAGGATATATGTCTTGGTTTGGTGCAATCCGTCCTTGCATTCTTGAGCAATGCAACACTTAACATTCTCCCCGTTTGGTATACATTAATGTAAAATGAGAATGAAAAATATAGCGTTAGGGTCGCACATAAAAGATAGAAAATCAAATATGGTGACTTGATGTGATGAATAATGATCATATTTTTCATTTTAGTGAGCAAATAATGGGAACATATGGGGGCCTAATTTTTACTTCATATGTCATCATTGTATTAAATTAAATAATATCATAAAATTAAATTAATTTACCCACCCCACTTCTAATCCAATTCAAACTCATTCCAATCCAATCCAATCCAATGACCAAAATGGCGTCGTCATCGTGAGCGCCAATGAAGAAGAACAAATGGATAGAAAGACATGGTAGAGAGAGAATGGTGAGGATAGAGAAAGAAGGAAGAAAAAAATGAAATGAGTTTGAACTGGATTCAAAGAGGGGTGGGGTGTGTGGTGGGTAAATTAATTGAATTTTATAATATTATTATTTATAATTAAAAATTGAATTATTACCTGATTTTTGTAAAAAAAAAAATAATAATTTAAATCTTATTTTTGAAGTTGAAACTTAAAAAAAATGTCTTCTTGCATTCCCCTTTTGTTACCATGATAAATGAAATATAGTACATTAGATGCGTTGGTCCTAATCTGCACCCATAATCACGTCGCCTAAAAATTTAAAAAAAGGATAAATCGACAAAATATTTACATTTGTTTTTACAATTTCTTGATTTAGTATGCCGCAAAGGTCAGGCCCCTTCACATCTCGAAATTGAGACAACAAATAACAAGCTCAAGAAGAGAAGGCTATTGCTTGCGTGCTTAGAGATGGAATTTAATTTTATTAAGAATTACATGATTCTTGATATTAAAATATACAAACTAAATAATACGTTCATTTATTTTTTTAAATTAATTATTCGAGATTCGTATGCATTAGTTTAAAAATTTTGAGACTACAATCGTAGTTCATTCTTTATTTTTATTTTTTTTTATTCTTTTCCTCGTATTTTATTTAAAAGAGAAAGGTATATTCATCGTTTTACAATACTTTACTGAGAAAATAAAAGAAAATATTGTATTCCGCAAAGAAAAGGTCATATAGCAGATCTCTCGTCAAAATGAAATGAGAGAGGGTATTTCACAATAATTACAAATATTATGGGTATTTTGTGCTAATTACCCTTCCTTATATTATATCAATTCATTATAACCCCTTTTTTGGGGGGACAAATAATCAATTATGATCCGATATATATATTTTCAAATTTTCATATTTGTGAAAACGTATAAATGTTGGCAGTTACGAATTTTTCCTACGGAAACAATGCACGCCAACTTACTGTTCTAACAAGCAAAAACCTTCTAAAAATGTGGTGAACATGTTGCCAATTGTATCTAAAGATAAAAAAATTATGTAAAAGATAAGTAAATAGAAACATGTAAAGAAATTTTTGATACGTTAATCCGCAACTTAATTGTTTCAAAAATCACTCAACTTGTACCTTGATCACAAACTACTCGCTGAACCTTACCAGTTTGCACTCCATCCATCATTGTAAAAAAATCGATAACACTTTCATTGACTTGGGAGATAGAATTCTGATGTGGCAAGTAATAACCAGTTAAATGATGCCAACTCAAATATTGACTTCAAATCAGCAAAAGCATGTTCCACGTGTCTTTAAAAAATGATTTTGGTGAATTCCTGAAAAAAAAAAAAAAATCAAACCCGACTGTTGGACCCCAAACATACACAACACTTCCAACTAAGAAAAACCCCAAATCCAAAATTTTCCTAAAACCTAATCATCAATTAATCCACACGCACGACCCCATCATTTAAAGATTCGAAGACCACGCACATGGAGGGACCACAGGAGCATACGTTTCACCTTATTATTATTATTATTATTTTTTTAAAGTTTTTAGATTTTTTCTCACTTTGTGTCGCCACATGTCAGACATTTTGTAGTTGGGACCACGCACATGAAGCCGGAGGCACCAAAATCGAGTTTTTTAAAGACTCGTGGCATGCGTTTTTGCTGATATGCAATCCAAATTTGAGTTGGCGTCATTTAATTATTCGATACTGGCCGCATTAAGATTTCGTCTACCATGTCAGCAAAAATGTTAACGATTTTTTACTATGATGGACAGATTGCAAATGACAAAAGTTCAGTGAGCGATTCGTGACCATTGTATAAGTTGGGCGATTTTTGAAATGATTAATTCGTTAATACCTATCGAAAATTTCCATGGGACGACAGGACTAACCCTTTCCATTGCCGTCCCAAATTAGCTTGTGCAAAATTAGATGAAATCAATGCATATCTCGTGTAAGTGCAGAAGTGTGCATCTTTGAAACTGAAGTATCAAGAGACCAATTCAATTGAAGGTAGTTAGGCAATTTTCATGGCAAAATAAATTCCGTTTAAATTGAAGTATTACCCTTTTAAAACCCAAAAAAGGAAAAAAAAAAAAAAAAAAAAAAAAAACCAAATGAGTAAGAATCTCTCAAAGAACTCAAATTCAGGCTGGTCTTATTGTATACGAAATTTGATCTTTCAGAAGAAACCTAGAGAGGCCATTTTAACATACAAGCAGAACCGTGGAAGTAGCAACGTTATTATATTGGGCGTGATCCCATTAGTGCTCAAAGCTTGTGCTTCAATTTCTATGCTTAGCCTTGGCAGGGCATTGCATTGTGAAACCATTAAGTTAGGAGTTACATTTAATGTAATGGTGGGGACTTCTTTGGTTGATATGTATGGGAAATGTAGAGATGTAGTGAGTGCGCGTAAAATGTTTGATTTTATGCCTAATGGAAATGCTGTGACATGGAATGCGATGATCGGAGGGTATATAAAGAATGGTGACACAAAGTCTGCGAATATTTTGTTTGAGAAAATGGCAGGAAAAACGTCGGTTACCTGGAATGAGATGATTGATGGTTATGCGAAAAGTGGTGATATGGTGATGGCGAGGCAGGTTTTTAATAACGTTCCGGAGGGTTTAAAGACTGTGGTGACGTGGACTGTGATGGTTGATGGGTATGCTAGTCATGGGGATATGGAAGCTGCGAAGGAGATGTTCGAGAAAATGACAAAAAGGAATTTTTACATTTGGTCAGTGATGATATCTGGGTATTTTAAGAAGGGTGATGTTGACAAAGCAAGAGGGATTTTTTATAGGATGAGTGAGAGGAATTTGGTTGTTTGGAATTCATTGATTTCTGGTTATGTGCAAAATGGGATGTGTGAGGAAGCAATGGAGGCTTTCAAGAGAATGCAAGTTGACTGTTTTGAGCCAGATGAAGTTACCATAGCGAGTATTTTATCAGCTTGTGCTCAGTTGGGACAGTTGGATGTGGGTAAGGAAATTCATGAAATGATTGTATCGAAACGGATTGCATTAAATGAATTTGTCCTTAATGGATTAGCTGACATGTATGCCAAATGTGGGGATCTGAGCCAGGCAAGATTGATTTTTGAACAAATGTCATTCAAAAACTATGCTGCTTGGAACGTTTTGATATCAGGATTTGCCATCAATGGTCATTGTAGGGAAGCTGTAGACTTCTTTAGCAGAATGGAGAAATCCAAAGTAAAGCCTGATGAGGTAACTTTTCTGTCTGTTTTATTTGCTTGTGCACATGGGGGACTGGTGGAGGAAGGTTTAGACGCATTCTATAAGATGGAAAAATATGGATTAACAGCCAACATCAAGCATTTTGGGTGTCTAGTTGATCTTTTGGCACGGGCAGGTAAGTTGCAAGAAGCGTTCGATTTAGTGAAGGAAATGCCGGTTGAACCAAATGACACAATTCTGGGGGCTCTACTTGGGGCATGTCGTATTCATTCTAACACGGTTATGGCAGAACGCGTGTTAGAATTGGTTGGAAAACTAAATTCTGGCTGTATTTCGAATGATGATGCACATTATGTACTACTCTCAAATATATATGCAGCTTCTGAAAGATGGCAAAAGGCCGAAGGGATTAGAGTAGTCTTTTCAAATAAAGGGTTGGAAAAGGCACCTGGATGCAGCACAGTTATGGTCATTTAGACTTGTTTTATTCATTCATAGAATGCTGAAAAGGAAATTCCAATATGAAAAGGATGATTATCAAAAGCTCATCAGTATTAGAAATTTCTACTGAGTCAAAGTGCGCAAAATTAGAGGTTGAACCTCTGTACCTTATGCAACATCAATAAAAATTGACAAAATACATGTTCAATGGGAACTCCATTTACCACTCATTCAATCATTACCCTCTTATTCAGGATTCTTGATTCTTCACTGTATGCTTTTCCATTAGATAAATCTAAAAATAATGCTATCCTTTTCAAATCCTTGTAGTTCCTCTTCTATTGAAGATTTGCAGTTGCAGTGATTAGCGTGTGAGGTAGCTCTTAACTCGAACTGGTAATCTTTTCTTGCTCACTACTTTACAGCTTGCTGATATTTTTTCCTCATTCTCCCCAATCATCTTATGGCCCTATTCATAATATTATTGCAACTTGCACAATGAAGATTTAATCTGTTCCCAAATGTTTTGCAATATATATGTGACCTTTACAAAATTTGCTTGCAAGTGGTTTTTGGGGAGTTCTCTTTTCAAGTAATGTGAGTTTCATCAGAATTTAATCAGGTAAAAGAGTTTTGGAGATTCTGGACATCTGTAAATCATTAAAAAGGAGCAACACATACAAGAAGGCGTCCCTTTAGGACTAGCAGATTTCAAATCCATCTGTCTCCTTGCTTAGCAATTGACAAAGGAACCTATTGCCCAAAGGAACCCTAAGACAACAACTCTTTACTTTCCGCGGGGAACTTCTCTGGTAAATCCTCAAAATTGTTGGTCAAAACGAGCTGCTGTCATGGAATCAGCCGCTCTTACTTTCTTAAGCAGTATGGATTTTTGCTTCTTCCCAGTCTTGAAGCACAGAAAAAGATTATCTACAACCTATGAGATGATAGGATCTATCCATGGCCATGGCTTCCTTGACCTTCTATCAGGTTTTTTCATATGCCCTCCAACCTCTCTCTGCGTCTTCTACCTATTAAAGATGAACAGTGACTAATGAATTTAAACCATACAGCACCAATGTATAAATCTTTTATACGTTTAGGGTTGTTTTAATTTCATTATGCAGGTTTTGAAGATATTAAAGGCCTGTTGTGCCCCTTTACGTACTGATATTCACAGTCAGTTCCCGAAGCCCTTTTGTCTACTTTATTTCCATTCATCACTTCATTTAAGTGAAATCAGATATTTTGCAACAAAATTGACTGCACATAGTTTGTGTTGTAGGCAGGGGGGCCTGTGTATGAGGTTGAGACTGGGCGGAGAGATGGTAGAATTTCCAACAGTGCACTTGCAAATGATATGCCAGAGGTGAATGATTCAATTGACATTCTCAGGTCAAAGTTCAGAAGCAAAGGATTTTCAGAAAACGAACTTGTTCTATTAACTGCTGGTATAATTACATTTTCTGACTTCAATCTTCCTTCACGCGTTTCTGGCTAGGCTTAAATATTCACGTACAAGTAACTTGGTTTACGAGATTTTAAGTACCTTTTAAGCTTAGCCAAACTTATGTTAAGTGTTTTCCAGTTCAATCAAGCCTATCAAACATGCCTTATTGAATTATCAAAAACTTGCAGGTGCACATACCATTGGAACCACTGCTTGTTTCTTCATGCTTGAAAGATTATAAAAACTTTACAGGAAGGGATGACAGTGATCCTGAAATAAACCATGCTTTTCTACCAGTGCTAAAAAATCAGTGCCCCGAAAATGGAAATGTTTCTGATAGAATATGCTCGACCAAGTCAGCGATGATAAATTTGACGATCACGGTCTACACAATATCAAGAATGGGACAGCCATACTAGCGTCAGATTCCCGACTTTAAGATGATAATATTACGAAGAAAATTGTGGATTCCTGTGCTGTTTCAACGGGACATGATTGTGCTGCTGTTTTGTCATTTGTCAAAGATTTTTCAAATACGAGAGAATGAATGCAAAAATTTCTATGTAACATTGTAATTAAATCTTGATTTGGTCAATTATTTCTCGTGCTTGGTTAAAATTTCACACATTAGAAATGTTAATTCAATGAGACTCAACTTTGAATTTGTTCATTTAGAATCTATGTGTGGGGAATATCAACCGGAAGGTGTTATTTTGCCCCTTGGGAGAGGGTTCTACCTCCGGTTCTTGAACTTCAATCCTCGTGTCTTAATTGAAATGGGATAATAAGGAAAATAATTGTAATTAAAATATACAATAGTAGGACCATCGATCCAAATAAGTTTATAAATATGTTGAGAAATTCGAAAATAGAATCCAAGCTTGACTCCATTATAAAATTAAAATTTTTTGGCCTAAACTCTTAATATATAGAAGACAACTCGACTTTATATATTGATTATAAATATAAAATTCAAACACTTCTCTATGTTCGCATTGAAAATTTGAATACTTGCTCTACGATGACGTTATGTAGAATAAATTTCTATATTGGATCCATAGCCACCAACAAAGCAATCCAAATGCTTGCAAAGACTCGTAAACGAAATACTCCCAAAAATAAGTGTACACCGAGCCAAAACGATTTAGGGGCTCTATCTTTAGCACGAAGAAAAAAGGAGGGGACAAAATCATATATACCCCATTTAAATATAAAATTTCAAAATGTACTACAATTTAAATTAAATATTTGTAATACTATATAGAATTCTCCCATAATTACTCGCATTATATTCTTGTAACTGAAATTTGAAAAAGATCCCACATCATGTTGCATTTATTTCATCCCAAATTAGAGGCTATTTCAAATTTATGTAACTTAGTAAATTCTTTTAAATTTTCGTTTGGAATCTTTCTCGAACTCAGATTTTGTGTTTTCAAGAATTTGGTTATCTTCATGAATGTTTTCTTCACACTCGAAGCAGAATTTGATACCATATCTGAATTCACAAAAAAGTTATTATTTTTAGAGATTGAAACTGTCTTCTTCAGTTTTTAGTTTTATTTTTATATCAAGTTTATGAATGCTTAAAAAAACCTTCAATTTATGTCCAAAATCTCGCATTATGTTATGGAATAAGTCTTAATTCCGATCGTGTAAATGTGCAGTGTTATTATCTTAACGAACGTCGCAATGAGATACATTTCAGATTTTAAAAAAGGAAGACTCATAATCATAAATATAAATGTGGAAATTACATGGAACATGGCTTTGAAGTATACAATGCAAATTTCAGTCAGGAAGGTTTTTTAAGCATTCTTCAGGTATCACATTTTGTTAATTAAATATCATTTTAATATTTAATAATTAATATTAATAATAAAATAGTAATTATTTTAATAATAGCGCGTTCTGATATCTAAATTCAATTTTTCAGTATTTTCGAAACCGTTTTCTCTCTCATTCTTCCTCCACTACACCCACAATCTCCAATTACTTCATTTCCACTCCGACCATTTTTACTACATTTTCGACTTTTTTTACTACATTTTCTTCTAGTTTTTGTATTACTAAAATCGTTATATTCATTATATAACTCATTCTACTCTCTGATAGAACGTCTTCACGCAATTGGAGTTTCTATTGGCGACATAAAATGGCGAAATCGAAGGGGATAGAAAGGGTGATTAATGTCGAAGGCTCGTCACAAAGAAGTCGCCAGAAGAAGGATAAGGGGAGCCCCGAAAAAATCCCATTGAAAAAGCACGCAGTGACCGTGCGTAGAGGGTTATCGAAGAAGGTTATTTTGTGTGTGTGTGTGTGTGTGTGTGTGTGTGTGTGTGTGTGTGTGTGTGTGTGAACAAAATGGTTGGGTAGTATGTATTGAAGATAAATTGGAGAAATGTGATTATTACCCTATTCGATTGTATTCGTGATTGGAATGGGTTATGATTTTTGAATTGAATCTCGTTTGTAATTTCCACTTGATTCTTCTTTTTTAACTTTATGAATAATGTGAACATGAAGTGCGAAATGTGACCAATGTTGTTATGAATCTGTAGCTTACTGCCTAGCAATGTGTCCTGCCTGTGACTTGACTGGATTGTGATGTGTGAATGTGACCAATGTTGTTATGAATCTGTGGCTTACTGCCTAGCAATGTGTCCTGTCTGTGACCTAACTGGAATGTGATATGGAATGTGACCAATTTTGTTATGAATCTGTGGCTTACTGTCTAGCAGTGTGTTCTACTTGTGACCTGACTGGAATGTGTTGGGGTTTTGCTTTTGTAATGTGTTATGAATTTGTGCTTTGGAATGTATTCTCAATCCATTTTGTTGTGAATCTGTGACTATAATGTGGAAATGTGTTAAGTTCAATATTTGTTTCAAAAAGTTGTGAATTGACTGAAAATCATTAGTTTCTAGTATGAGTTATCAGAAAATGTATTTAAAAATCAATATATCATAAAATCTCAGTAAATTTGTCAATCAGTTCTGTTTGATGGGCTTTTATCAGAACTCAGAGAAAGATCAATGGACTTGTTTTCATGGTTTACATGAGGAGCAATCTAAATTACAAAAGGGTTGTGTGAATATGTGACTATGATAGGTTGCTTACCTGTGACTATGTTGTGTGAATATGTGACTACGATGTGTTACGTACCTGTGACTATGTTGTGTTGTGTGAATATGTGAATATGATGGGTTGCGTACCTGTGACTGTTGTGTGAATTTGTTTTGAATATGTAGTGTGATGTGTGACCGTGTTACAAACGTGTGACCATGATATCTTCTGTATGTGTTATGAATCTGCATAATGTGACTATAATTCCACCAAGGTTTCATAAATATGTAGTTTCAGTGAGACTTCATTTATGTATGTGACCTTGTTAAAACGTGTATGTCAGTGTGATTTTCACACAAGCATTTAACACTGTGTCTACACTTAATGCAGGTTTGGGAATTCAAATACTAGAAGAGAGCTGGTTTTCAGGCAAGTTTACAACCTCAGTCAGTAAGGGTGTTTTAACCACCATTTAGACATTGTTAAGCCAACGATAGAAACTTGTATTGATGGACACATGTTTTGCTCATTTCTTGGATTACCATGAAATTGTTATACGGCCGCAATTGTTTCACTACTTCCTTCTGCGACAAGTTCATCACCCGAATGATCAAGAAATGTGGTTTTATGTGTCGGGGCGATATGTCCGGTTCTCTATCTCGGAGTTTTGTTTAGTCACAGGGCTGAGGTGTTTTGGGGATAGTGATACACAAGTGTTTGAAAGTAGAGAGTCACGGTTAAAGGCAAAATATTTTTCTCAAGTGCATAGTGTAACCCACGAAAATGTAAAGTCCACTTTCATATTTGCTTGCCAAATGCCGGACTTGGATCTCGTTGAAACTGTTCCAGATACTGATGTTGCTATGATTGGGATGCTGTACTTTATCACGACATATCTATTTCCAAGAGATTATAAGAAAGTTGTTGACCACTTCTTATTCGTGCTTGTTGAGGATTTCTCTGCAATGAATCAGTTTCCATGGGGCAAGTTATTATTTGAAATTACGTTGAGTGCATTGAAAGACGGGATGAGTAGGAGGAACTCACACTACAGGCTACGAGGTATGTTGGTAGCCTTTCAAGCCTGGATATATGAGACTTTTCCTAGCCTTGATGGAGTTGTGGTCATACGAATATCAATGATGCATCCCCACATCAAGAACTGGATTACAGATGAGCAACCATCGGCTGCCAAGTTGGAAGGACCTGACTGCTTCTCTAATCCTAATGTAAAGTTTCAGTAAGCATTATGTACTTAGTACTTATCTGTTGACATTGCATTTATCTAATCTATATTGTTCTGCAGATTGAGATTTGTGACCCGGAACCCTCGAAAACTGAAATGGCCATGCCATACATGAATGGTGTCTAGTACAAGAAGACAGTTCAACCAAAGTTCTCACCAGACAGCCGCAGTGATAAGAGTAGGATAGAAAGGTCAGTTGTCCGTGTTGGTACGAGTGGGAAGTCAGGACCATTAGTGCTTCTGCTAACAGACAGTAGTGTTCGACAGGCTAGTGTTCTCGACAACGATGAAGATGATTTTGTTGATCCTCTTCCAATATGGCAGGAGACATCTCCCCTTGGAAAATCCCCAACCCAAGACTGCCCGTCAGCTGCTCATCATTCTCCAATGAAACAACAGGCTCGTGAGGCACAATGGGGGTGATGTAAGTTGTTATTTTAGTCAGTTGTCAAACAATTATATTGTTGGTAACAGACCACTAGTTTCAGGTCACATGTGGTTTAGATCGGGTCACATGTGACAGATTCATTTTGACAGTGTGCAATATATGGTTCTATTTGGTTACAAGTCACATATAAATAATTTATTTATTTTATCAGGAGATTAAGGAGTTAAGATCACAAATATCTGATCTGAAGTCTTAAAATGAAGTGTTGAATGTGGAGCTTGATGACATTAAGTCTCAGATGTCATCAGTGAATGCTGAGCAAAGGACGAAGATGAATTACATAGTTCAAATGCAATCTAACATAAAAAGTGACTTGATGGAGATTAGGAGAAATATGCAATTTTTGTCAGAAATTGTATCAACAATGATTCCCAGTTCCATGGATGAGATTATGAAACGGTTTGGTCATAAAAAAAGTGATCATGGAGTTGGAGATAAAGATCCTCCTGTTGTTGGAGGATCTGATAAGACCGAGGAGGTAGTTACATTACATTTCCACATAGTTTAAGAGTTTCATTTGACATTTAAAACAATCTCTCATTTTGTGTACAGGTGAAAACTATGGAACCAAATGTGGACAGGAAAGGAAAGGGCAAACTGGACCCAACTGATGATATAGTTTTGCACTGTACTCTCGAAGCACCATCATTTGACTTGGGGGTTGGATATACACAACCTGACGTTTTACATTCTGAAGACATTCAGAAGCATGTCGATTCTGTAATATCAGATGTGGTCACAGCAATTACAACCGTTGATACCGAGGT